GTTGTAAATGCATGCATTGGTCAGAAAATGAATTTTTTATTACCATCGTATTTGTGAATGGTCACTAATCAAGGTAGCCGCTAAATGCGGAGAGAGTATATTAAAATTGCTTCTGGTTATTATCTTTACTATCTTTACATCAGATATTTCCCCCTTAAAAACCATACTCTAAGCATCAAAGTATTTAAGTTTTCCTTGTTGTGGTTCATGTAATATAAAGGGAAGCCATTCTTGCTTAAATTTAATCAAATTTCTGTTTTCAATATATACTGCTACTTTTGCCATTGCTACATGTTCCCTAAGTTTGGTTTCCCAGTCTGATATTGTTGGCAAAGTATCTCTTTTATTTATTTCCAACATTGGGCCAAATTTGTCCTCACAGCCATCAGTATGTATCTTAATAAATTATGATTATTTTTATTTATTTGTTCTGGAAAGATTCCTAATAGAATAAAACTGTGGTTTAAATTCAAAGTTTGTTTTAATTTTTTTTTAATAACGCTGTGTATTTCTTTTCAGTACTTTTAAATTTTTTTACATGACCACCACATATGATATAATGTTCCTTCTGCATCACAACATTTCCAACATTTATTATTATATGATTTATCTATTTTTGCAAATTTTGGACAGAGTTATGTACCATTTGTAAAACATTTTGTCCCAACTTTCTATTAAATTGTAGCTTGGGGTAAATTTGATTGAGTTTTTCCATAAGTCCTCCCACTGTTGTAATATTTTAAAAAGTGTTTTAAATCTAAAGGTAATTAAAACTATTTTCACAAATACCCACTCAGTGTACATGCACTCAACCCAAGATTTTCTCAGTCCCAAAACTTTTTTTAGTGTATTTCTCTATAAACATTCCTACTTGGTGCTCTTTCCCTAAGCTTACTTTGTTGCATAGTATCAGCAACCTTTACTCATCTACTGCAGATTACCTTAGGATCTTCTTGTGGAAACAAAATTCTTTAGGAACATGGAATCAGACTCAAAGCCTATCATTAGTTAAGCAATAGGAGGACCAGAGCTAAAGTAGAAGGAAGGAGGTGATATGCAAAATAGGATAACAGGAAGTATATTCATTCATTCATTACATAAATATTTATATACATATTAAATAATTTATTAAACATACACATTTATTCCATTTCACAAGGTTTGTCCTGAGACTGACATAAGAGACCTCAAC